TCCTATATATACAGCAAGCTGCCCTTGTGCTTAATGTTTCACGTCGCTTGTGATACACATTGGACTTGAGAAAGAATGAAGAGCGGGAAAAAGGAGAAGGATGATCAGGTCACATGCTCAACTCATAAGGGTAATTTTGTCCATAAATTTGTATATATAGCTTCCCAATCCCAAGTTTGGTTATATGTTAGTTAACATCTGATCACCTTCTGTTAGGCTGCATTGCTATTCAAATTGGCTAGAGAACATGCAGTTGGTATTTTGTCCCCAAGTTCCCTTATGATATAAATATAATCTTTTCTTATGTTGAGATAGCTACATTCTACATATAATTAATTTCCTTCTATTTCCCCTTCATATATATAGTGCTTGGGCCCACTACGATTCCTGCATCTCCAAGTTGTGGTTATGGTATTTCACTCGAGCAACTTGTTTCCATGACCAGGGACCATAATCTAACTTCTCTTCATCAATATGGAGGGGCAAGTTACTTAGCTTATCAAACATATTTTTCCTTCACTATCAAAACTCAAAACCTCTTTATATATATATATATATATATATATATATATATATATACATTTATACCTATATATATTTTCAGGTGCAAGGGTTATCTGAGATGTTGAAAACCAATCTGGATAGAGGAGTACAAAGACATGAAGATGAATTAAGAAACAGGAGAAATGCCTTTGGATCTAACACTTATCCTGTGAAAAAAGGAAGAAGCTTCTTTGTATGTTATATCTCTACAACAACTATTTCTTCTTCGCTTTTATTTACAACTGCAGCTGACCATGGGTATTTTAATTATGTTGACCACAGATGTTCCTTTGGGAAGTTTGGCAAGATTTGACACTTATTATATTGATCGTAGCTACTGCAGCATTACTGGTGCTAGGAATAAAGACAGAGGCAAGTTTTAAATCATACTTTCTCATATATTTAGTCATTCAGGAGTTTGTGATCATATTATGACTCCTATTTGTTTCAGTTTTCTTAAAAGGCTTGAGGTTTCCTTGTGTAGGGTATTGAAGAAGGATGGTATAATGGAGGAAGCATCACCTTTATTGTTCTTTTGGTTATTTTTGTGACAGGTGAGGCGGCTGTTTTTATTTTTCCAGTGGTTATGATATTTAAAATGTACTTTCTCATATAATTTGGTGTATTATTTTGGCAGGTTGATCGTGCTACATGATCAATAATGATATCTAGGGTCTGCTAGAAGGATTGGAGATAGCAGTTAACCTATATGGCCAATAATGAACTAGTTCAACTATTATTTGTTGATGACTTTCATCTCTTTCACATTTGATGTATTACATTTGTCTACAATTGGAATGATTATTTGTATGACATTAACTTTTGTGCAATGAAATGTATTTTTTTGTATATGGTATTCTATTTTCTATTATGAAACATTAAATGTAAATTTAATTTGAAAATTAGTAAATCTATAAATCATTTTTTTTTAAATATAAAATTACGATAAACAAAAATGTGTGTCGTCTTTATTTATGACATGGCCTTTCTTAACAACGGCTTTAATGATATGCATTGCGTGTCATAAATACGCGTCGTCTCTCGTTATGACATGGCCTTCCTTGACGTGCATTTGCGCGTCGTCTGAGCGTTCTACGATGTGCAATGAGCGTCGTAACAGGATATTTTTCTAGTAGTGGAAGAATATTTTTTGTTATCTTAAAGGAACAATTTCGTTAAGATTGTGGTATCCTTCGAAAACTGGCTTTTTCATACAAGCATTTTCTGATGCTGATTTGGGTGGTTGTAATCTTGATCGATAAAGTACAAGTGGCGGATGTCAACTCTTAGATGGGAAGCTTGTAAGCTGGCAATCGAAGAAACAAACATGTGTTTCGATTTCCATAGCAGAGGCATAATATGTTGCTACTATAGCTTGCACCTCACAAATAATTTGGATTCAAAGCCAATTATGTGATTATGTTATAAACATGAAAAAGAATTCGTTTTATTGTGATTCACAAAATGTTATACACATTTGTCACAATCCAGTGCATCATTCGAAAACAAAGCATGTTGCACTACGTTATCATTTCACTACGGATCATGTGGAAGATGGAAATATTGAAGTCCACTTTGTAAAAACAACTGATCAGCTTGCTGATATTTTTGCCAAGTCATTGGATGCAAATTCGTTTGTAAGAATACTAAATGGACTGGGATTGATAGAAGCTAAATTTGTTCCTGGATTTATTTCGAAAGAATGACAAGGGAAAATGTTACAAAGGTGTGGATTCAGAGGTGCTAAGTGTTCATTCATAGGATATAGTTCATCTTTTAGAGGTTACTATTAACGTTCAGCACTTCGACACGCTTCGATTTCGACATCATGTACAATCTGCTTAATTACAAATTTTCGTTAGTTTGGTACTAAATTTTTTTTGTTACTTTTATGTCGAAAAATAAAAAATACCAAAAATATTTGTGTTTTATTTTTCTCTTTAGAAAAATTCAAAATTATCAAAAAGATTTTCTTATTTTTGTTATTTTCATTTTATAAAACAAAAATCCAAAAATATTTTCTTTTCTTGTATAATTTTTTTTTACGTCTGTTGTATAGATGTAGCGAAGATTTTACTTAACATCACGACGAATGAAGAGTCTTCTTGGTACATGTTTAACGTTTTGAAGGAAGGTATATTTTCGAAAGCTATGTACTAGTTAAGATGTCCCTAGAAGCATGATGAAGCATGTTGACCCAAGCCTCTATAATGTTATGAGCTTCGAAGCCTTAATGGTTTTCTCATTCTGAGAATTCCTTTCCAATTAGGCTATCTACTCATTCATTCATGACCTACATTACTCTTCTCATTTGAGTTAAGAGTTTACTGCTTAATTCAATCATAGCAGAGGTACATTCATTTCTTAAACCACTCTTTTTCATCCTAAAATTCTTAACATTCACACACAAAGACATATGTCCAAGAGATTTATGGTATAAACCAATCAAGATCTAGAAATATCAAAAATATGTGTTTATGATCTAACATCATGAGACCGTGATGAAAGTGAAACCCTAAGTGTTGAACCAAATTAAGGAATTGACAGAGAACTTTCTTTCAGAATTAACGAAACCTTTGTTTCAGTACCTGTTTTCGATCTCAAAATCATATTCTTTCCTTTTTAGTAATCGTGATCAAATGTTCGAAACCCACGACATTTTTTAACCAACAAGATTTAGGACTAATTTTGGTTTCAAGAATATGATTTATGTCTGAGTATCATTCTTAACATTAATTACTTGATAAAATTTTCACAGCTTCTTGTCACTGACTACACTGGTCAAACAGGTAGTTTCGTTTACAATTTGTCACTCTTATATTTAGTCGTGCATTGTAACGAATTTTTTAAGCCACCTTTGAAACCATGCTAAAAGAAGCCCTTCAATACTTCTTTACAAGTATTCGATTGTAATTCACGGGAAACCACACAAGCTGTTGATCATCTCTCTTAGTGATTAGCGAAGCAATCTTTGCTCGGGATTTATCTGCTTTTATGTCGAAATTATATTTTCGACATCACAGATCCAAATTTTTCTTATTTTGCTTCTTATCTTTTACCTTGGCACACTGCACTCACTAAATCCTTGAGGCTTTGAGTAATACTAACTCAGGCTGATGATTTCGAAAGTCTGGAACATGAATTCATTTACAAACCCAAAACCAAAAGAGATAAACCTCCATTTCGAAGGTTTTTGGTCCTTATCTATTGGGTACTCATGAAGAGACTTTTGATGTGATGGTTTGATAATTATGCGCGTTTCTAGGAAATTGTGCTAATCACTTTATCCGACATGGCGTCCTTAACGGCTAATGTTGTGATTTTCAACGGCCACGTATCATGTTCATTGATGGCAACCGTTTGAGATTCAAGTTAGGGATACATATAAAAAGGATGATTGGGTATTCATTATAACTTTACACATTCAAAACATACTCAAAGAAAATATGTGCCCACTTTTTCCTCTGTTCTTCATGTTTTCAAGAAAACCCTAACAATGGTTGCTCATCAATCTAACACCACTGAAGACGTATCTTCTCAGCCCATAATGAAGATCCAAAGTACGAATTATCAAGTTGATGGTGATGTTTCCATTTATCCATGGGAACTCAAGATGTTGATTGTTGCTCTAAAACACGCAGTCTTGTTAACTATGATGTCTAGTTCATTTGAAGTTCTGATGTCTTGGCTCTCAATTGTTGGTTCCACTGCAACATACAACAAGACATTGCAGACAGTTACATTCAATCTGGTGAATGACAAGAAATTTCATTGGTCCAAGAAGCTTTTTGCTCAGATTCTCGATACCCCTAATTCTCCACCTTTCTATAAGGTCACTAATGAACAGGTGATTCACGTGTTTAATGAGCTAGGTTATCAACCCACTCTTACCAAGATTAGCGAGTTCAAGAAATCATGCCTTCCTTATATCTGGAATTTTCTTTTTGGCATTTATCTTTGATGTCTGACTGGTCAAAGTGTTGGTTTGGATAAAGGAGGATTATAGGTATATGCTATGGTTGCTGGCATATATTATGACCTATTGGTGGATTATGAAACTTAGATGTGGAAGGAGTTCTTAAAGAGCATTGAGAATACCAACGTTGTGGATGGGGTTTCTTGTGCTAGGTATTGGAGTTTAATTCTTCGATATGCATATGAGAAGGAAGGTATCCAGGTGTATGCTAATGAACCAAAGGCTGAGTTTGTGCAGTATCACAATCCAAAGGCAGTTGAAGATAATGTGGATGAGTTTCAATAAATTGCTCGATTCTGGATGCAATGCTCAAAAAGGTTGATCCATTGAATCCTTTGTTGATGGCATATCTATAGACAATTATTCCTTATATCGAAACTGGAGTTTTACGACCACGTTTTGATGAAGGTTCTTCAAAGAAATCACGAAAGCTCAAGAAGGTTGTTGAAACTAGTCCTTCGAAACCTATTCAAGAAGAGAAATGACTAAGTCACCAAAGCAAAAGTTTGGAGAGGGAGTTAAAGTTTTGAAGACATTGGAAAAGCCTATTGATATTGAAACAGTTGAGCCTTCAAAGGAGTTAGTTCCTTCGAAATCTAGTGTGTTAAAGCACCTTGAAAAGAAAGCTCATCGGTCAAGAAATTCTCCTGAAAGGTCATCCAGTTTTTCACCTTCAATGGTTCGAAAGCCTCAAGTAACTTAGAAAGGTGCTATCATTCGTGAAATACTTGTACCTCTTTGTCCTTCCTCTAAGAAAAGAAGAGCTAAGAATGTTGCTAAACATATTTCAAAGAAACAAAAGAAGAGAAAATTGATACTCCAGGAAGACTCTATGGACAACGAAGTAGTCCCTGAATCACCAATGGGTAAAGTTTCATCTAAAAAGAAATCTCTTGTCAAGTTGATTTTCAAGGAGATAGGAATGTCAAGTAGCTCTGTGAAAACTTCAACAATGGGCACATCTACTCTTCTTGGTGACTCAATCAAAATATCGACTCCTAAGCAGACCTCGGTCACACCACCTGAGGTTTTGTTAACCAAGTAATCTAATGAGGAGGTTCAAATCTCAAGCATCCCTGCACACGTATCTGATACGGATGTAACTTTCGACATGGGTGAAGGAGTTTCAAATAAAAAACCCCATTTTCTACTACTCACGATATTTTCGAAACCTCTACGATTCCTACCCTTACTTCTCTACCACCATTTTTCACAACTGTTTCTACATCCACTCATTCACTAACTTTTGATCAAGTCATGCAACAACCAATCACTTCTCTATTTTCGTCCCAATCCACTGAACCACCAAAAATGATAAATGATGATGAAACTGATGATGGAGGGTATGGAGGTTCGTTCGTTGACCTAGATTTTGATCTTGAAGAAGAAGAAATCCCAGATCATATGCTTATGTCGGGAAAATATTTCAAAATTCTCAACATAAAGCTTAATTCTTTATTGCAGTTACAAGTAGATACATGAGGTAAACACTCTATATCTGGCATTAAAGTCGATGTGATGCTCAAAGCTCAGGAGCTTCGACTTCAACACCAGCTGTATGTAATGGATAAAAACAATGAGCTCTGAGTCAAAGTTCAATATGAGACTTTCAATAATTAAATCAAGGAGCTGAGGCTGGTTGCAAAGGAACGACATGTTCTCTTTGTTAAGGATTTCAACACTGTAAGAGAAGATGCAAATCACAAGCTTGAGGAATTAAAGGTTGAAATGGCAAAAGAGATTAATGAGTTGAGTACTAAATACTCTTCTCTACTTTCAAAAGTGGATATTGTTGCAGGGGTTGTAACAAAAGTGGTGGAGTGTTATCAATCTCTTATTCCCAAGATTGAAGACAAAGTAACTGGTGATGTTACCAGTTTTAGGAAGCTTGATGTCATACTTAGTGAATTGAAAGAGATGATTTTGAAGTCTGGGTCTTCAAATCTCATAACACCTGAGTTTTTAACTCAGAAGCTTTGTTTATTCGAAAATACCATTCAAAAGGAGTTGGCCCCATTATCTCAGTTGATTAATCTTTTACCAATAAATGCCATGCCTGTTGTCACAGGGGTGTAAGGGGGAGAAAGTAGGAATGTTGGTAAAGTAGAATGTACTTCTAGGAAAAGTGAAGAAGAAGCGAAGGTTGTTGGAAGAGTCTTAACAACTCATATTCAAAAAACAACAATTTCGAAGGTTGATCCAGTGATAGCAACTAAAACAACTACAAGGCCAATTCTTCAAGGCATTGTAATTGGGTCTACAGGTGAAGGTAGTTCTTCAAAACCCAAGCAAACTGAAACAGATAAAGGGAAAGGAAAAGGGGTTGCTATAGAAAAATCAAATGAGGAAAGAAAAGCTTAAATCGATGTAGAAATTGAAAAGTAGCATCAAATTCAAAGTATTTTGAGGCTTCGTCAAAATGATCCTCCTACTATGAACAAAGGTGATCCAAAGAAGCTACACAGTTATGAGTATATCGAAGCAAGAGTGGCTTATAGTGAAATGTATGAGTTTGAAAAGAAACCGAGAAAGAGTTATGCCATAGAGAATTCTGACATGAATCAGCTTGATTTTCCAGTCAACGAGATGATCTTTCTTACAGCTCAGTATAAAATTTTTGATCTATTTAAGGATAAAGATGATTTTATTCATACGAAGCTGAGATTACATGTTGTGCTGGGAAAGGAACAGGAAGAGGTTTTGTCACTTGTTAAGATTGTTTGGGTGTTGAGCATTACCAAGGATGTACTATTCGAGAATATGTTGCAGAATTTTCGATACTATGTTGTGAGGGCAAATAATGTAACTTTTGACTTCTCAATTGCTAATTTTCCCTTGAGGAATTTGAATGACCTTATTTAAGTTGCGAACATTCTCAAAGACATGGATGCTTAGAAACTTCAAGGAACTAGTAAAGATGTGTTACATTTGGGGTTAGGTCATATCAAAATTTTCATAGACAATTACTAAGATTGTCTAGCATTGACAGATGTTGAATTAGCTTTGTCTGCGGGAAAAGAAATTATTGTTCCTCAGTCAGTGTTGAAGAGTCAACCTGATTTAAAGAAGTATGTAGATGGAGAGATATGTTTGAAGCCATTGGGGATCGTTTTCATTGAAAAAAGCAAAAAGGGATCAATGGAGTTTTTATTCCAGTCATGTGATGTTGAAAGATACACAACTGCTCAATATACGAACTTAATCGTGTATATGAATAGTTGAAAGGAGAATAATGATGGGGATAAAGAAGAACTGAAGAAAGTAATGAATTGGTATGCGGAGATAAGAAGAACATTGCATATGGCTGCTCAAGTTTTGATAACCTGATTTCAACACTGCTTACAAAGGGGGAGATCGTAAGTGTCGAAGTGTGTTGTAAGGTGTTGAAGGTTATTTTGAATTCGATAGTGATGTAATGTTATTACAAAGACAATTATTTCGAAGCTGTAAGGTTTTAGCCCTTTGTATTTTTCGTGTGCTTTTTATTTTTCCAATAAATAGGGAAGGATAAATAAGATAGATAGAACTTTGCAACTATTCTTTCTGAATTCTCTTTGTATCGTGAAAGCATGATAGAGATAAAACCATATTATATTTACTTTGTGTGTTCTTAATTCATTTCATTTCTAATCTCGTTTCATTGCTCGATTAAATAGCTTCTACAGAGGCACAACGAAGAATGTTGGGATCCCATCCTAAAAGAAATCGATCTCTGACAGAGACCACTTGATGAATATCTGGAGCATAAATCCTATGAAAAATAAATGTAAGAGGCCAATGGTCCAACCATTTTTCATACCAAAAACTCGTTGAAGCACCATCTCCCACCCTAATTCAACACAGGGAAAGAAGATCAATCCCCTTGTTCCTGAGGTTGGAAATCATACGGATAAGGTTGTTCCAAGGTCCCGACGGATAACCTTGAGAAGGTAAGGAAGAAAGATCCCCGTCTTGCCCATAGATAACTTTGACAACTCTCACCCACAACACGTTAGGATAATAAAAGAACCTCCAACGCCACGTAAACATCAAAGCTCTGTTAAAAGTAAAGATACTACCCACCCCAAGCCATCCAACCTCTTTAGAAGCTAGAATTTTATTCCAACTAACCCATTGCGTCCTCTTCTCATCCAACCCAACACCCCAAAAAAATCTAGCCCTTAGAGATTCCATAGTATGAATAACCGTGAGAGGGGTGCGGAATACCGGCATAAAATAACTGCCCAAAAAACCAAGAACTGACTTAAGCAGAGTAAAACAACCACTAATTAAAAGGCTTTTCGCCTTCCAAACAGCAACTACTATGAAATCTATCAATAATAGGAGATCAAGCATTCACCCGATTCATATTCTGACCTACAGGCATCCCCAGGTGAATGAACGGGAGAGAATCGGAAGCACACCCTATGCAAGTCACAACCTCCATGACATGTGAAGAAGTAACCCCAACTTCAATTAATTTGCTTTTTTGCAAATTAATTTTAAGACCCAAAGCCATAAAAAAAACATTGGAAGATACGAATAAGATGTCTAGCATTATCCAAACTCCAAGGCGACAAAACAATTGCATCGTCAACATAAAACAATTGCGAAGTCACAATGTCCCCAGTAGAGATTCTTGTAAAAACATTAGCCATCTGTGTCCTCTTGAAATCCACATGAAGACTCTCCATTACTAAGATAAAAAGAAAAGGAAAAAGAGGATCACCCTGCCTCAAACCTCTCTGAATCTAAATCTCTTGTGTAGGCGACCGGTTAACCAAAACCAAAACCAAAGCTCTAGCAGAACTTAACATTTCTAGAATCCACCCACACCACTTAGGGCCGAAGCCAATATATATACTGCAAATTTCTATGAGATAGTCCTACAAAAGAGAATCATAGGCTTTTTCAAAATCCATTTTAAAAATCAAAAGAGGATTTGAAAAGTCCTTACACCAAGCAACCACCTCATTGAGAAGGAAATGTTCATCTAAAATCTATCTACCCTTTATGAAAGCAAACTACTCCAAGCTAACCACCAAATCAATGATCTCTAACAATCTATTAGCTAGAAGTTTTCCAATGATCATATATTGACACCCAATCAAGCTAATAGGTCTAAAGTCACTAATATTCTTCAGGTCTCTGATTTTAGGGATAACAATAAAAAAAGATACATTACAACCTTTAGGAATAGACAAATTAACAATTCTTATTATAACATATTATCAGTTTTGGATATTAAATTCCAGTCATCCAAATTTTTATTTTTTGTCTTTCTGATTTGGTATTTTACATTTCACTTTTCATATTGATTTTTCAAGTGCGGTCAAAATGAAAGTTGCAAATAAGGTGTTTTCTTATTACATCTATTATAGAGAGGCTGAGTTCAAATATTAAAATGCTGATAATTTTTAGGTAGAAATGATGTTAGATTTTTGTGTAATATTTTGAATGAATCTTTGTGTTTTACAAATATATTAAAGGACGATATTTAGAATTTTTTAAGTTTTAAGGTCCTTTTTGACTAAACTGTACAGGGCCTCCGATTTTTCGGGAACAACCCTGCTTGTGTTTGTTTCATTGTATTTGACTATTTTCCATCTCATAAGCTTATGCTACAAGCCTTTCCTTTCATGACTTCCCTCCATCATATTGCTTTAATAAAGTTAATAACATGTTATATCATTTATGATATGTTACAAGGATGTTACATCGACATCCTCTATTTTATATGTATGATCCAACGATTGCCAAAGTTCTTTTTTCATTTTAGCTTTATGATAGCATCAACTAACCCGTTTAACATGTACAACAAACATGCACAAAATAACAATCACAGTTTTGTTTTAATGATGATGACACCCAACATATCCACTTTATTATTGTTAGTATCCATTTTATTTTATTTATTGTGAAACGAATTATCACATAGATAGTGCTCTTAGATTGTGTGAATGACACCTAGATTAATCGTCAAATAAGCGTTGATTGGCATCACCACAAATGGTCCAATGAAATTTATAAAGTGAAAATTCCTTTTATAAAAACTTACAGATTTTT